GTTGACATATCTCCTAACTCTCTGGGCGCAAGAGATAATATTCTAATTTTAGTCATATGAACTGAAAATGAGCTCTCTGATAAAGGGGGTGAGTCTGAGATGAGGGCAGATACTGACCTTAGTGTTGTAGTGTCAGATTGGATACCACGATGTGATTGATCTGAGATACATTAAATAAAACAAAGTGTCTCTGCCAGTGTCAATGTCAGTGAAAGCATTAGTCTCTCCACTATTAGTAGTGACATTCATTCAATCACGGCAAGCCACCAACTCAGTTCTTTGCCCCACATCAATTCTTAACCTCATATTACCTTAAAACAATCCCAGTGAGTTCCAGGCAGTGAGTAAGTGCTCTTTATAAACAAAACTTTGTGTTCATCACACCTGGTTAATCTGCGATGAAGATTTTATAGTCTTTTATAGACTATTTCAGAGGTCTGTTAAGAAATTAACACAATCTTCTGACCCAAGTTCACAACTTTTTTAAGTAGAAGCTCTGAGCATTGCAGCATCAAAACCAATGTGCTGTTTGACCGAGGGTTTGACCCAGTTGCCAGAGTTGCTGTAGATTATTCGTGGATGTAGAAGAAGACATGTTCAACTCGGTCCAAAGACCCACCCCCCCTGACTGATCACCTGTTTATTCAAAGTTTATTAATATTGAACATATTGTGTGTCCAAATCGCATTAAAATGCAGCATGCAGCATGCAGGAATTTAGATCAAATTAAATCTATTTAGGTCAGTTCATCGTACGTATCCTGATAATTAATTATGTACAGCCCAAACTCCATACTGGTGCTAAGATTACATCCCACCACAGTCTTTATGTCCAGTATTTCACCCTTCCTTTCATACCCACTTCCCTGTGGTCCGTGTTCCAGAAATAGAATGTTTCACTCACTCTCCTTGTAAAAAGATAGAGTAATCACTTCCTTGACCCTGATTCCAGACATCTAATTTTACAGATATCTAAGTTTAGTTTTTCTTTTATTGTATTGTATAATTTATTATCTCATAGACAATGGACACCTACAATATAATTGAATGTCATTCAATTCCTCCTCAATAACCACTTTCATGATTTTATTAATATTCAGTATTCTTCTTTGGATCTTGCCAGACAGCTCTTGATTGAATTCAAGAGTAATAATCTAACATTGTTATAGTGTAAGGTGTCATTATTATGTCCAGCGTATTTCTCATACAGGTCTGTAAGTCACTGTGGTGATTTGGCTCTGTCGTGGTGGAACGCTGCAGATGAGGAAACATTCCCTGCATTGCTTTAATGATGGATGTAATCATTGCAGATGAGTAGACAGCAGTTGCATATTTATCCAGCAAATGTTTTGACTGGCTACACTGTGATAGAAACCAGATTTGTAGCCCATCTTTGGTTTTTGCTGAAGGCAATACATGTAGTTTTACTCCGTTTTTTTCCCCTTGAACTATTATCCACTCTAAGTGGAAATTTACTTAATTTTAACAACATAATAGTTAAACCTCTGTACCTTTTAAGTTCAATTTTCGTGCAACTCTATAAATATGCGTCCCATCTTAATATATGCCCGGGAGAGAACAATGGTTCAGGGGTTAATTTTCAGTTCAGTGAATTCCTCACATAATATTACTATCTATTACATTTGTTAAGGGCCACCTGCAGGACATTTTTTTTTTGTTTTAATTAAAAACACACTGAAGTAGTGGAAATGAGCTAACTTGTTAATAAAACTTACTGTACAACATGGAAAGTGTTCTTCTGAGATAACTTAGTAATTAAAGTGACCTTTGCTCACATAAAAACAGGCAGTGAACTGAGAACAGCCTGCATTTTATTTAGAGTGATGATAGTAGTACAGCAATAAGACTGCTGGAGCTACAGCATGAATCTTCCTCCAAATGTAATTTGTTACTTTTATTAGACTGCAACTTGTCAGTGGGTTCAAAAAGTCAACTCTCAGTTCATTACCGGCACAACATCTAAAGGCTATGTGTCTTGGTGACGTTAGAGATGCCGGTGAGGTGGAATCATTACAAATAATAGACTATGTATGACCCTGGTAAAACTAAAACTGAGCTCGCCGCTGTCATTCTTTTCCCAGAAGTGGCTGCAGAATGTGTAGAGAGGGTGATAAAGCACAAACCTGCTACTCGTCAAGGTTAATGCCCTACTTCACAGAAAGTAGACAGGGCCGCAGTCTGATGGAGCGGGTAAACTTTGTATAGAGCCACACCTTACGCTCCATTTAAAAGAACACAGGAGCCAGATGGATATTACTGAAACCAAGTACAAAATTATAATTTAATCCAAAGAACCTCCAGCTAGTGTAAATAAGTGCAGCGTCTTGAGCTTAACACTGTCATCTATCTGATTGCAAACCACACTATTTAGAAAATAACTTTAAAAATAAACTCAATTGAATTTGGTAAAACTTGATCAAATATTGGGCTACTCATATTTGTACAGCCACAACAACAATAAAGCAATGGTAGGTGGTGCATACGTCCATGATATGATCTATCTGTCTGTTTGAATGTGGCTCACAATTCTTGAGAACCATTCATCTAATTGGCATCACACTTGGCATTTTTATTGTTTTTGACCCAAGGAAGTGCAGAATCAGATTCAGATTCTGTGTGATTGGGACATGCAACGTGTTCAATAACAATAAACTCTGAAAAAAAGCGCTCTGTAGGAGTGACTGCTGATCACAAGAAGAGCAACAGGCAGGTTCACAACAAGAGCAACACCAGTTGATTCTCCAGCTTCGGGGTTCTGCATACTAAGAAGAGCTTCAACCAACTTTGAATAAACAGGTCACCAACTTAAGGGTTCATTCCTAACAAGCAGATTTAGAACAGACACTGCATTAGTCCTTTAAAAGACATAAAATCATATGTCAATAGGTGTGATAAAACATAAGTTAAAATGTGCACCATTGTTTCACTGTGTAAGGTTGGAACCTCTATTACATAGCAGATTGATGCTAGTAGCTCTGGAGACTATAATACATCATTGATGGCAACACAAGGGTTGATTAGACATTGAAGGTGTGAAATGGTGAAAGGGGAAATTAAATGAAAAGGATTGATAGAACGGCCAATGCAGCCCTTCAGTGTGGTTGGTCGGTCTGTCTTTAAAGCTGCGGAGCAGCTGATGAAAAAAGTTAAATTAAAGGCGCATGATGAAAGACTTCTTGAGCCATCAAATGGAGAAAAAAAGAAAAGGTTGTGACAACATGACTCCTGATTTATTGATTTTTTTTTTCATCCAGGGTGGTTCGAAAGAGCAAAGCAATCTCTGAGTTTGTTGGCTGTTGTTACATTCCCTTGGCAAATGGACATGCCACACAAACACACACATGCACACACACACACGCTGGAGTACAAACATATGGAGCTCCCAGTGGGGCGGAGTTTTTAATCCTCGAATACACTGCCATAAATCAAACCCCACTCCCTCATGCCCCAGATCGTCTCTCTCAATGAAAAGCTCAAGCCAGTGGCACATTAATAGCAATTTACAGGTCCAGTCATGCGAGTAGAGAAGCATCAACAGAGCGTCCTTTATTTTGTAATTCCTTATTACTTTCACTCACTACACAGCCACTGGATTGGCACCAATGGAGTATGTGGCCTACCTACTGCATTACTCTCTCCAAGTGGATGTCACTCATTTTGTGCTTGTCCCACCAATCTTGCAATGAGAGGTGCCCCTTCACTAACCTTCACAATACTGGCTGGTGTATTCTTTTATTTTGTCCACTCAACTAATATCAAGGGGGGTGTTTGCTAATGTTGCATTCATGTGCTCCTTGGATGGTCCCATTTCCCAGAGTTGGGAAGTCATTCGATCGACTCTCATTTGTTTTTGTAGGCGGTAATGCAGTTTATGAAGGCAGCATTGCACCTTGATGATGGACCCTCGGAAGAAGAAGAGAGAAAAAAGGAAGAGATTATAGTAGATGGCAGTAATGCACCTTGACATGATTGGTTGCCAACCACCAATAAACCATATAAAGAAAGACGAGTTTAGACATTAGGCAAACTATTTTAGGGAAGCGAAAAAGTCAACATTACTGTCTTTGAAAAATATTTCATCCTCATATTTCAGTACATTCCCTGAAACACCAAAACTATTACTGCCCCTACCCTCTTTACTGCTAATAAAAAACCTATTTATAACAAATGCGGTTCACTCTAGGTATGTGGATAGCAACAAATGTTTACAGCCTAATACCATGATGAAAGTCATTCTTTTGTTTGGTTTATTGGTGGCTGGCAACCAACTGGCAACCAACGGCAAGCTTTATTATCGTCGCCTACTGTGTTGAAGCACCTTTCTTGGAAGTACTGCATTACCAGATCTGAGGCTTGGATTTCCTTAAAGTCATATGTTAGCAAAACAAGTTGATATGCAAAATGTGAATTTTACCTATTTGACAATAGTTTGAGCAACAATCAAAGTAAACTTTTATCCACCTTTTTTGCATGAATGACATCAACAATTTGACCTAATGCCCCCAAAAGTTTCTGTGTGTGTTGAAAAATAATGTTGCCTTTTATATTTGTGAAGTAAAATGTTGCTTTTATTGCATCATGAGGTAACAAAGGTAGTAAAAAAAACTGTTAATCACTGATGTACAGGAAGTATGTTATACATGTATACATACAGACTACAGATGTCAGTAAATCATCATTACCTGAAAAAAAACATTATTTAGTGATACATGGTCTGACAAACCCGGCTGAACCTGACAAAAAAAAATCACCAAGCCTAACCCAAACGTGAAAGGCATTCTGTTTTTATTGGTTTTTTTCTACAAGCACGTACAATGTAAAAAATAACGTCGATAGCCTAGCAAATGTGACCTGAACCTGAATATCATTTCCAAATTTAATTTTGCCTGGTTCGGCTGGGTATCCACTCTGTGCTTCGCATGTGTTAATGTCCATATATAAATCTTATGAGTTACTGATAAAAAGTTTTTCTGTTTTCAGGTGGAATGGCTGAAAAACGAAGAGCCTCTAAGCTCTGATGGTGTTATCGATACAAGAGGCGACCATAATCTCATCATTTCAGATGCTCGCCTTTCTGATTCGGGAAACTATACCTGCATTGCCAGCAACATTGTGGCCAAAAGACGCAGTGCCACAGCCGCTGTTGTAGTCTATGGTAAGAAAGAAAGAAAAATGCACAAAGAATTCATCCAAGGGTAGCTTCCGTCTCAGCCAAAAAATGCACGAGAGATGAATGCTTTGGGTTTGCAGTACGGATGATGAAAACCGTGTCAAACAGCTCTCTTGCCTGCATCAAAATATCAGCTTTCACTACAGACGTTAGCTGTCGAAGTGGCCCCTCAAGTAAATTCCCCAAAGTCATTAATATAAAAAGCACTGCTCCACCACAGCGTGTGGCCTTTTCTCACTCAAGAGCCTAATGAGCAGGTAATGGGCAAGTGATCCCTCATGTGTAAAGACAAGGAGACACAGGCACAATATTTACAAGACCTCAATTATTAATGATGGAAAGGCAGTGACGTGGGCTGTCACAACGCCCCGGCTTTTATCTGCCAGCACTAAACACCTTGTGTAAAATGCTTTGTATGGTTGCGAGCCAGCAGACACAAGCAAGCATTTTTTAGCCCTGTAGAGAACTCTGCTGAGACAGAGGAGAATAAGTGAAATTGTAATGTCATACTAGCACTACCTCCTCTAACACCTTGTCAGTTGGGGTGTTCTGATAATCGGTCTGATGACCTTTCACCCTGTTAAATTTTTTCACGAAGGGCATTTATCTTTTGTAGAAATATATCTGATTCTTTCTGACAGTTAGTTCAAGAGGCCCATCAATCATTAATTTCTTTAATGGTAATGAAGTCTCTGACAGGCTTACTCATCCCTTGAGCTTCAGACAGATGTACAATAGTGGAATACTATTATTTCTTGCTTTCCTGTGACAGCAGATGGGCTGAGTAGTCCATCATCTCACAATATCAAAGGCTACATATCTGAGGAAGACATATATGGAAGGAAAGACTTAATTGATCCTCTTTTTTTCACCTCTGATGAAACTGTTGTCACGCAGACACCCTCTTGCTGTATGTCATTAGAGCAAATATACTGTTATCCACAAGTGTAAAAGTAGAGCACTATTACTAAATATTAATCTCTTTCCCTTCATCTTGGGCACACACAGTGAACGGAGGGTGGTCATCATGGACAGACTGGTCCCCATGTAATGTTCGCTGCGGTCGCGGTGTGCAAAAACGTTCCCGCACTTGCACTAACCCAGCTCCGCTCAACGGGGGAGCCTTTTGCGAGGGCATGTCAGTTCAGAAAAGCACCTGTAACACATTGTGTCCAGGTAAGCACAAGGACGTAAGTCTTTATGTTATTGTTTTTGCATCTGCATCTGCATCTATGAAGCATCCAAAAATGTCCTCCAAACTCACAGGCTCCAGTTAATAGAAGTTAGTTACTTCAAGTAGTGCATTCAGATACAAAAATACCTACTTTTGATGTGTCCATACTTTGTAAAACAAAAAGTTAAAAGTTATACTTTTGAACATCTGTAAAATGTTTTATTTAGGTGAACCGGAGGACCCGGAGAAAACCTATAGCATTCCATGACATAGCATAGCATGAGCACCCCCACCAAAAAAAAAAAAAGAAGAAAAACTTATGCACTTGTATGTTCGTATGATTAGGACTTAAATCATAGCACTTATGCACTTAAAGAATATTTCACAAAGAGCAGTTGCGATCCTTAGATGAGGGTGTGGAGGTTAAGGGGCTGGGGGAGCACCTTCACCTGCACCACAGAGGATCAGTCAGCGCATGTGAGAGCTGTTAGCTGATTGACCCTCATGCTTGGAAAGGCAGCAGCGGAGATGCCTCAAACACACACTGGGGAAGAGACTGAGCAAAGCTCCCAGAGACACGCTGGAGCTTATGTTGGTGTTTATGTGTACTGGGTGACTAAATAAAGATGTTGCTGAGCCACAAATGGTGTGACTGGTTAGTCTCTGGCTGTCGTGGTGAGAGCCCTGTGGCATGGTCTACTGCCACACTGGTGCCTGAACAGGGACGTCACACAGCCAGAGACATGGACTGTTTAACACCATTCGGGAAGTGGATGGATAAGGAACTTCTGGTCCTGTATGAAGATCAGACGGCAGAGGGCAGAAGGCAGAAGGCAGATGGAGGCGCACCAGAGGCAGACGGAGAGGATGACGCTTGGGCATCTCACCTGCGGTACAGAGCTGGAGAGGGCGGGGAGCGCGGCTCCAAGGTCGGCCATGAAGCTGGTGGGTCCGTCTCCAGGGTCAGCGGGGAAGCTGACACCTCTGGTTCCAACGCTTAGGTCGGTGGGGAAGCCAAGACCTCCGGTTCCATTGCCTAGGTCGGTGGGGAAGCTGACACCTCCGGAGACTCAGAGCAATGAAGAAACTAGCCACGCACCATGCTTGTTGAAAGTGTTTTTTGTGGGATTGGCAGACATGCTGCTCCTTCAGTCCTGGCGAGCTGTTGAACTGTTTTACCCTTTTTGTGACATGATACCTTTCATTTGCAAGTCGTAATGGCAAAGGCACCTATGACTAAGACTGCCAACAAACCTGCTCCCTGATACCTGTTTAGACACCAAAAAAGGATCTCTCATGGCAATTTGAGATTTGAAGTCGTTGCCCGGCCTGTAGCTCCTGTTGTGCATATTATGTCCAAGTTGACAGCAAGGGGACAACCAGGCACACAAACTACTTGAGAAAGCTCTGGGTCCCCGGTCGGCGGATACGCCTACGCCTGCCACCCCTGCTTCTATGGGTAGGTCCCCTGGACGGCGGCGCACTCCTGCTCCTGGGTCCAAGGTGCCCGAGCGGCGGTGCCCACCTTCCAGGCCTCCCTGCCTCAAACACACACTAGGTAGGAGACTGAGCAAAGCTCTCGGAGACATGCTGGAGCTTATGTTGGAGTTTATGTGTACCAGGTGAGTAAATAAAGATGTTGCTGAGCCACAAATGGTGTGACTGGTTCGTCTCTGGCTGTCGTGACGAGAGCCCCGTGGCATGGTCTACTGCCACACTGGTGCCTCAACAAGGACCTCACACAGCCAGAGATGTGGACTGGTTAACACCGTTCGGGAAGTGGACGGATAAGGAACTTCTGGTCCTGTATGAAGATCAGACGGCCGAGGGCAGAAGGCAGATGGAGGAGCTCCAGAGGCAGACGGAGAGGATGACGCTTGGGCATCTCACCTGCGGCACAGAGCTGGAGAGGGCGGGGAGCGTGGCTCCAAGGTCGGCCATGAAGCTGGTGGGTCCGTCTCCAGGGTCAGCGGGAAGCTGACACCTCTGGTTCCAACGCTTAGGTCGGTGGGGAAGCCAAGACCTCCGGGTCCATTGCCTAGGTCGGCGGGGAAGCTGACACCTCCGGAAACTCAGAGCAATGAAGATACTAGCCACGCACCATGCTTGTTGAAAGTGTTTTCTGTGGGATTGGCAGACATGCTGCTCCTTCAGTCCTGACGAGCTGTTGAACTGTTTTACCCTTTTTGTGACATGATACCTTTCATTTGCAAGTCGTAATGGCAATATGACTAAGACTACTAACAAACCTGCTCCTTGATACCTGTTTAGGCACCAAAAAAGGATCTCTCATGGCAGTTTGAGATTTAAAGTCGTTGCCCGGCCTGTAGCTCCTGTTGTGCATATTATGTCCAAGTTGACAGCAAGAGGACAACGAGGCACACACACTACTTGAGAAACGCTGGCTATCTCTGTCCACGGGGACCAAATCTGCGCTGCTTTCCGTGACCTCTTCGGCATCATGCCAGGGCCCAACGTCATCAAAAGGCTTTGGTAATTGATGTACCTGCCCATGTCTTACCAGAGGCTGAAGTTGTCCATCGTAAATGTACCCTCCTTTTGGTTTGTACTTTTTTTTGGGGGGCTCTACAGATGACTGAGGTATTTTCTTTGTTACACTGGCACCAGCAGCGAGAGCCTTATTTTTTGATACTTTCTGTGGTGTGGGTTTTGGTTTGATTAGTTTTGTTCTGTAAGGGGCAAATGACTGCCGCTTACTCCTTTTTCTAGATGATGCAGTGGAGAATGTTGAGGGTGTAGTGGGAATGTGGGGCAAAAGTATTGGTGTTTCCTCTGGAACTCTGGGATTCTTTTTACCCCACTGCCGAAAAAAATTTTTCTCTGCAAAAAAACATTAAATTAAATAAGTAATAATTCAATTCATACATTGGTTATATTAGAAAGATCCCACTTTAAAATTTTAAAAAATGTGGACATGATTGATCCCTAGACATTATTATCTCATTTTAAACCACCTAACTAAGACAACCACATTGACCGACTGAGAAAAGAGGATGTATATTCGTGATGTCAGGAATCTGTGCTCAAGTAACTTCATCCCGAACTGCTACCTACTGTATATGAAAAATTAAGTTAATAATGAATTAGTAATATATATAAATTATTCAGTAACCATATGTCATGTATATTTGTATTGGGTAGGGGAAGGGGGATTCCCCTAATATAATATCACTAATATCAGCTTAAATCTTTCAGTTTACTGCATATTTATACTTAAACAATTCTACCTATTGATAGTAAAATCTATATTAAATGCTGACATACCCCACTGCTCCTCAAAGCAATAGGCCAGTTCTTTGGGGTCTGCAGAGTCATTATGACTGAAATCAAACATTTCCTTCACATGTTCAGAGAGAAATGCCTGGATGTCATTTGATTTTTCTAGCAGAGCTGCCCTGTTCAAACACTCCACCGAACTTATCAGTCCGTATGGTACCGTAGATTTGTAACTCATCTTCAGTTCTTAAGTGTCCTGGGCTCCCTTCAGAGGATGTGAGGATATGATTTGCAAATATTGCGTCGGTTCACAGACCGTCATTGAGGTGCAGCACTGCCATCTACTGCATTTTGGGGTTAGCCCCTTTTTGTTTGGTTCAAAGGCTTTAACATTTAAGGTGTTGTTGCATATAGAATTTATCTTGATGCACGTTTTACTTTACAGACATCAAAGGCAACATCATCATCATCATCATGTGTTTAGCACTCTTTTGGAGACATTAAACTTGCTTTCATTTCCTTTAGACTTATCAAAGGTTCAAAGGTTCAAAGGTTTTATTGTCATCTGCACAACAAATACAGCGTACATGTTTGCAATGAAAATCTTAAATCTCAGACACCTCAAGCAACTCTACATTCAAGTGTCATAAAATAAAATAGATAAGAGTAACTAAAAATACAATAACATACACTAGTGCAAATGT